TATATATATACATAATCTTGAAAAGAAACGAAGAAGAAAACTTTGAGGCAGAGGGTCAGGACCAGTGGAGAGAGACTGAAAACCAAACCAACTACTTCTCCAAAGGGCAAAAACCAGAATTAGCCACTGCCAAGGACACAACCAATTTCTCTGTACTGTCACGGGTTCTGAAAAATGTCATCTGCCAACACGCACACAAGTGTTTGAATAGGAAACAGTTCTGCCGTTTTACACATTCAAAAAGGCAGGGAGTGGTAAAAAAAAACAAAAAACTAAACAAAAAGCATGAATGAGTGAGGTACCAAAAAGAGATAGAAGAGAATGTGTCCAGGGACTTAGCCCAACCTGTCAAGTGCTTGGGGAAAGAACACATAAACAAATAAAAGTGCTGAAAAGCCCTATTAATTTAAAATGGCATTCATCCTGGGACTTCACTTCTGGGTGTGTCAGACTGAAGTGTCTGCTAATAGCAATTTAAAACGCTGAACTGGAAAAAACGAATGGTTTCAAGACATTGCGGAGCTATCAGGGCAGCCAGTAGGCTGAAAACCTAGAGCTAAGAGCAGATCCTTTGCCCTCTGACTGGCTTTTCCCTTCCAGGCACTGGTCCATCTGCAAGTCGCACAGGGCTGAAAACCTGGCAAGTCAGGCTCTAAAATGTCCCACAAAGGATTAGGAACTGAGCACAGTTTTTACAATCTGACAGAAAAGGGAATCCAGGACCAGGAAGGCACCCAGAACTTGAGCTAAGATCCCAAAGGAAAGGCCAGTGCATTCAGGAGGGCCAACACAGGATGCCTTTCGAGGGCTTTGCTGAATTGGAAGCTGTATGTATCTGAAAGGCCGAGAAGCTTAAGAATGTTTTCAGAAGCTTCTTAGAACCCCTAACCCACTGCCATTGAGTCGGTCGGTTCCAACTATACAGTTTCCAAGGCTGTAAATCTCATCTTCCTCCTGCGGAGCTGCTGGTGGGTTTGAACCTTGTGGTTATCCGACAGTATTGGGTGGGGGGTGGGGAGGGAGAGGGAAAGGTGGGAGGGAATTCAGAACTAGCACAGAGGAGAGGCGTGGCAAATATTTAAGTATTCAGACTTTCAGTTGGGAAATCCTCAGTGAGTTTCTTCTTAGCAGTAAGAGTCAACAGATAATGGGACATCTCAGTAAGATGGAAACCCAGCCTTGAATCACTTCAATCAAATATTTCAGCTATCCCTTACATCTGAGGTGGTCTAAAATGGCATGGCTTGGGTCAGGCACACCTTACTTCTCAAAGTGAGAGGGGTTGTTTCAGAACACTTTAAAGAGGTCTTTGACAGCAGGTTTTCCCCCATGCAATACAACTTTTATTTTCTTGACTGTTGCTTCCATGGTGCTGATTGTAAAT